TAAGTCATCTTTTCTGTACTCTTCTTTGATATTGTGTCATAGCTAGACAGCTGCATACGCAGTTAAAATCTGATGCAAAAAAAAAATATGATGATGCTTCCGACTACATTCACAATGCCCATACCTACTCTGGGCTAATCACCTCTTACTATATCGGTCTTATCTTCTAATTAATGCCCTTTTCGCCCTTTCATCTGAAATGAGAGGTCATGATATTCTTCGTCTTGCTGGCCATCATCAAGCTCAGAGTTATGGACAGATTAAATCTTTAACATAGACACTACCTAAACGTGATGCTTGCGACTTGATCTGCGACTTTCGATTTCAAAATTATTACAGGAATAATGAACCCTCATTAATTGAGGTTGTAGAGAGCATTCGTTCAAGTAACTACCGAAATAAAATTGAGTACATAATTTGTAGTTACGCGTGTATCAACAACGTGACCTACTTGAAAGCCCCAATTATTTCAACTTCCAAGCAGTCATCATGTCCTCCTAGGGCCGGCAAAGACGAATTCTTCACCTTCCAGTGGTGCCGGTGTAATCACTCAGTATGCTCTGCATAACTGGGATAGCTAAGAAGAATCGTATCCTTCGCAACGGCAGCTTGCTGAGCGTGGCCCAGTCGATTTCGATTGACACATGGGCTAGGTTCCGTTCCCGGCACGATAGATCGAAAGTTTAAGTTTGGGTATCATCTATTCAGTCTTCTAACAACTTCCCGATTGAGTTTGACTGGGAGGACTTTACGACTCACCAACAACCCTCCAAAATCAAAGGTAAAATTCCTTTCGCTTTCAACCTTACTAACATTCTGTGCAGGACTGGGCAATTGCTCGGCCTCATTTTAGACAAGCACCTCGACCGCGACATCAACATTCTCAACCTTCCGACACATTCCAAGGACGGCGCGAACGAAGGAGCCTCACTCAGACAACGAACAATGTACGACAAAAGCTGGGGCACCGATGCCTCGGTTTTGAGCTCTCGATTTCGGAACTTCAGCCCTCTCAAATGGGGGTTGAGCGCAATGCAGGGGAGAATTTGGGAAGAACGATTTGTGATTTTCAACAGGCTGTTGGCACAGTTGGTCTGGTGCTGGATGTGCTTTCTAGAAGTGGTAGGTTGGATTCCTACACGGCCTATTTAAGGGGGGACTGCGGTTGCTCATCGTGAAAAAGTACAGGAGGAATTATTGAGGTTTTCCCACGAAGGTTTTCCCTCAATACATGGTCTTATGATCATGGTGAATGCGTTCCTACCTATTTGACCCGATGTAACTAGCGTGAGGCACGTATTTGGAAAAGTCAGGCACCGGATGGGCTTTATTATTAATTCATTTTATTGTCCTGTCTGAGTCTATGACTATGTAGGACATGCAGGGCCTCTCTGCCTACAGGCCAAGGATACCTATACCAGTAGTATATCCCCTCCTATGCCTCCCATACAGCTCCCCTCAAACAGTACCACCCCTCACAAGTCCTCATTCGATCATACACTAAGAGGAGCCCTTTGCCCTTCATTATCTCCCCTCTCCAGCCAACGAAACGATGGCCATTTGCGGGTGTATGGCAGCCGGGAAAATTCGCAAAAACCACTGGGTGCGGGGCTCTTCTAATACCGACATTAGGAATAAATCCGAAGACATATTGCCCCTTCTGAAGCGTTCGAAGAGGCCGGCCAGCTGGGCGCTGCAGACTTGTGTGTACCTCGGGAAATTCACCCTCTGCCTTTCTAGCCTCCTTCCAACTCCTTCCCGAAGGTCGTGCTGAAATGTCAGAAAAGTCTTGACAGAGCGTGATTGCTGTATAGTAGCTTAGCCTAACTTCTTTTGTACCGTCCAGGGCGCTGGGGAGTGCCGTTGACTCATCGACAAAAGAAGCCCTCCTGGCTAATTAGCCGAAATCTTGGTCTTGGCGCCCACAAAAAATCCAAAGTTGGAAACTCCTCGAAAATGTCAGTCCCAACACAGTCTTCAGAGTCTTCTTTCTCCTCTCGCTCCACATCTCAGCTGCCTGTTCTTCCTCAAGATGTATAACCCCATTAGAGCAGCAGTCCCCCATAAACCAAGACCCCAACTTTGTATTTTTCGACTTGATTTCCTCCTTGCGGGTATAAATAGCGTCGTAAATATGTAGAGAGTGATGGCCGGTAATGAATGAGGCAAGCTCCTGTTTGCAGTTAGGGTGACGCCTCTATCGGTCGGCGAGGCGAGTTGATATGTGCTTAGATCGGGGTTGAGGACTCAGAAGATAATGATGAGTGCTGCATGGTTGAGAAGTCGTCAAATGGAGATATACATGTGTTTGCTTTCGACTTCGATTCGGATGCGATTCTTCTTGGCTATCCCAGATATGCAGAGCATACTGAGCGATTACACCGGCACCACTGGAAGGTGAAGAATTCGTCTTTACCGGCACCGGATGGGCTTTGCTGGAGAATGGAGGAACTTGTATTCTAGATGTCCTCCATGCGTGTCATGTCCATTGGATGGAGGGTGTAAGCCTGGCACGATAAATGTAATCATCATTATCATCATCATCATGTCCCCCTAGGGATGGTAATTTCGTTGTAACTAGTGCCTAGTAGACATAAAATAAATAAATAATCTTGTTCACAATAGATACATGTGCTAAATTTCTTGAGTGTGATGGGATGGCTAGCCCTTGTAGCAAACTAATGCACCATCCAAGCGGAGCGGTCCGTATCCTGTCGTTTGGATTTCTTGAAGTTGATTGATTGGCGCGCCCAAAGATCTTCAATTTATAAAGCTCTAAGCCACAATCTCGATTCTTTTGAGAAAGTATTCACTGCTTGTATTATCTTACCAACTTATCCTGATCTCTCTCATGTCTATCCCAAAAAACCTGCCTCCCAGATTTGTGCATCATAATTTGCCTACCCCAGCGGGTAATCATATTCTTGTGTGTGTGTTCGTGTACGTGGAGGCTATTTGAGGCTAGAGAAAGTCGACCAGAGGTGTGATCATTGAAAAAAAGATGTCCTAGGTCATACCGGTAGACTTGATGATGCAACGATGGGAATTGATCTCGTTGGTAGAGAGAGATTAATTTAATGATGAGTATGGAATCATTGCCTCATGGGCCAACTTTAGTATTGCGAAGTTTGGCTAAGCTTGGCTCTAAGAGAATATTTAAACCTCAGATTCCTAGAGGATACCGCGAACAAGTTATCAGTTTTTGTTCTCCAAGGAACCTTGATTGTCCCGATAATCAGTCCCAAAAGTCTAGCTATGTGAGGCTCTTCGAATCAATCCTATCGCACCCGAAAAGCGATTGCATTGAGAAACACAGGGCAACGTGATTCTTAAAATTTTGGAGATAGAAAATACTTTGGCTAAACAATACCATTTAAAAGACTTGGAGACGAAAGCGACTTAGACGGATACCCGTCATAGAAACATTCCTGATTCCTGACTCAGCTTGCTTCCTTTAGAGAAGTCATTGATGTAACGATTGGTGTTGGATACAGGTTAATCACACCGTTCGAGAAATATACGACCTGCCTGTCTCACGCACTTTGGACGGATGACTGAAATGTCAAATGTGTCTCATCAAGTGTAACCAATCTCCGAGCCATCATGCAAGCCTGGATGAGCATCGGGTCCGCAGTATGTGACGGGGTTTCAGCCACTACCTGGTCCTGGTGGCCGTAGTGACCATGATGATCAGATTCCTCACTTCCCATGACCTTCAACCTGTGAGAAGAATTCATCAGAGCCAGAGTTGAAGAGCCTATAATTCCACGGACATTCCCGGCATAGCGCCTGCACACGACGACAAGGCTTGAGCTTAAGAGGAAGACCGGCAAAAAGGCAGAACTTCAAAGCGACCCCTAGGGTTAGAGATTTGCGGTTCGTGAGAAATAACGTCGGAGAGAAGCCGCAGGGACATGGGTATTTTAGAGCGGTCCACCTCATGGCAGGGCCACCCTGCCGGAAAGAGCGTGGCGGTCGTCGTGATGATAGTGCAGGAAATCAATGTGGATTGAGGAAGGCAATAACAATCAAATATTGGGAACTAGAACGTTGGTAGCCAAGCCAAAGAGGCCAGACGAGCAACTTGGCACGTGATACTTGTCTGAAGACAGGGTGAAACGATTATCTTTAGGATTCTAGAAGTTTATCGTGCCGGCTCCTGTGATTGTAGCCCACTACTAATGTCAACTTTGAGTATAGGTGGAAAAACCTAATCGTTAGTGCACATTGTGAGGGAATGTCACGGGGGAAATATTGTATACAGCTCTGGGCCCGACTGATCTGGTTAGACGTCGGCGGCTTTTCGAGCCGATAAGCGGAAGGCTGTCTGTCCATAATTTACCCGATCAACAGGGCCTTCTAGCTGCAATGACAGCGACATACGGAATAGAGCTACTGTCGTCGAACGAATGCCGTATTGAGCCATAATCATTTACATGGCTATATCTTGCCACCTCAATGCGACAGTCTCATGTGTTCTCTAATAGTCCGCATACTCTGTTCCGGTGCCCTGACAACGAATTTATCAAAGGGCTCGTCAGTCGCCCAGTCGCTTGTATCCGCGTCCGGTCCGATAATCCCTGCAGACATGCACCAGCCACAGCCACAAGGACTAAGTGGGGCCTCCGTTCCCCAAAGACCATAGCCCCTAATTGGGGCTGGGGCGCACTTGAGAAAGCTCGTAACTGAAAGGTCATGGGGGCACACACACCCACCCACATTTATGTGCCCCGGATATACACACCATTACCCTCCTCCACATCTACACATAACTCCCTACACTAACCCACTTGTAATCGCACTAAGTCTTCGTCATCCTCCTCCGTGCTTATCCACCATCGATTTATCTTTTCTTCCAATTCTAACTTGTACCTGCCTGCTCGTCCCTCTCACACATTTCACTCCTGCCCCTCTGAAGATCCATCCCATATCCGCCCTCGAGAACGTCACTCCCCAAACCATTTGATACTTTCCTCATCCGACCATTATCCTTCATCAATATGTCCAAGGAAAAAATTGATTCTGATCGAATTAATTATATAATATGGAGGTATGTGTTTGCCTAAGTTTTTCCCGCCTGCAAGTTCTCATGGCCAGGGCCGACCGACTCCCGAAAAAAACGACGTAAATCCATTTGCTAATAAAAACCTCGACTACTTTACAGGTATCTGATTGAATCCGGTGCGAAATTTACCCTTCTATTCTTGATATGAATCAACTAACCCTAAGGTGCTCTATCTAGATTATCCTGAGACGGCTGTTCGTCTACAAAAGGAGTGGAATATGCAAGACCCACAACTTCTCTCGTTTGCGCCCCATGTTCAACCGCACGCACTAGTATCCCTTCTAAATCGAGGCTTACTTTACAATATGCATGAGCGCGGCTTCGCCGCTCAAGTATGTTCTTCTACATTACTCCCTTTGACTAGCAATTAACCATTTCATTGTTCAGTCTTACCATGTTCGCGTCGATGGCATCAACTCACACCCAACAGCCACTGTTGGATTTTTTGGGCCGGTCCTGCCCCCTTCGCCAATACCGGATCAGGACACGGGTATGCTGCGCAAACATCAGATTGATTGCGATCCCGGCTCAAGTCTACCTGCCCCATCTGCCAAAAAACCCCGTCTCAGCAATGGATACTCCATAGGCCAGGTCGACGAAGATGGCTCCAGTGCTCCCATGACTGACCTTGAAGCTGATGGCGGGGAGGAGTCCATCCCAACTGAGCTAGTGACGAACCGCGATGAATATGCTGATGAACAAGCCTATCCATCCCCCGAACAGATGCCTACTCCACGGCCAATTATCGTCACCTGCGGCCCCGAGAAAGGCACACAGGTTGAGGCTGTCGAAGATCTAACATCTGATACTGTTTTCCTCGAACTTACGGAGAATTCAGTTGCACAAGGCTCTATTATATCACATTGCGCTTTTCATCCCCGTAACCCAGCCTCCTTAGTAGCTGCCGGCAGCGATGCTCTTGCACGTATCTGGTCCCTACTACCACAAACACCCTCTACCGATCAAAGCCCTGTCACTAGCGGCAAACAAATGGTAGCAGCCCATCGTAATCTATATGGTAGTGGAGTACCCATCACGACCCAAGCTACAGCCCTTTCATGGGCTCCTAATGGTCAATATATAGCCATAGCAAATCAACCTTCCGACAAGAGCCTCGCACGGGTTGATTTTTGGCTAGAAGATGCCTCGCTAGTATCATCAAACAATGGGTTTGAGTCACCAATCATTGATATACAATGGAACCAAACTGGTACGGCTTGCCTCACTATATCACCACAGAATGATGCAGTTGACACTGCTTTGACCGTTATATATCCGGGTCAACAAATACTTATAAGGCACACGCTTCCCGGTCATAATTTGGTAGAGCAGCTACTAGAAACGACATGGATGACAGATGAAAAGTTTCTCTTGTGTGGGGGGAACATTCTACAGGTCTTTAATTGTTCCACTCAATCGAATTTGATTGCAGAGGAGCGAAAGTTCGAAGTACCGGAAGGAGCAATCCTATCACGGGTAGCTTACGATTTCCACTCACAACTTATTGCGGCGGCCAGTGATGCAGGAACTATCTATGTAGGTGGAGAATATACTAAAACCTTTTCTAGGCTAATAAGATTAGATCTGGAGACTTGACCAAAACTTTCATACCTACAATGCACACCAAGGCCTAGTAACCCTCCTATTATGGCAACCATTGCCTTTGAATCATGAATCCAGTAGTATGACAGAAAGACTTCTTGCCTCTGCTGGCGAAGACGGTGCTATTAGTCTTTGGAATGCTCTCTCTTCGAGCAGTAGGAGTCAATCCTCCATGACCATGCGATCAGGCGTTTCAGCAATAAAATTTAGCCCTGATGGCCTGTTTATAGCCGGAGCAACCAACAATGACATATTTATATGGAAGACAAGCAGCACTCATATCCCACGCGCCATGTGGAACTATAATGACGAAGTGGGCTGGCAGACCCCGCAATCTTCAGAGTCTACACCCGGCGAGGAAGAGATTTGCTCCCTATCATGGAATTCAGATGGCCGTCGACTTGCCTATGGCATCAACAATCGGGTAGGTCAAAATCACCTCTATCCTGATAAAACTAACATATACAGCTGGCACTCATCAATTTTTGTCCGTAGGTTAGCCAATCGTCTGCATGTTTTCCAATAGAAGGAATTGACTAAAGGCTATAATTTACGGCTTGTCGAACAGGCACTCAGCCGGAGAAAAGATAAGACCAATTAACCTTGTAATCCTGTGCGTAACTTTATTTGAACTATCACAAGGCAATGACATGAACGACAAGGGAGGCTGAATATACCTCAAACACCATATAGCGCCAATTAGTGTTATGGTTTTTTATATGACTATACATGAAGTAAAAAACCAGGACACATCCGGAAATTCAGGCTAACTAGGAAATTCATCGAAAATATCCATGATGTCACACAGTGACTTACACGCCTCTAGGCTCGGGTATAAAAAAAGTCCCTACGTATTCGGGGACTGAATCATTACGAAATCACACTAGACCGACGAAAAAGCTGAGCTCAAACTAATTATCTCCAACTATACGTGAAGAGACTATTCACTATTAAGTCGAAGATTCTTCATGACAATGTAACGGTCAAATTAGGGGCTTCATTAGCGGGGGCTTCAAACTTTGAGGGTGGATGAGATTAGGATAGCCGCCACCAAACGTCATGGCATTCTCCATCCGAGTCCCAGAGGAATTAATGTTATTATTGAGGGTCTCTCATCTTCTCTACCTTGGAAATGACGCAGAAGTTCATGTGTCGTCAATCAAGCTCTCGAATTCCTTGAACCGAGTAAGCGCAGAGTGTGTCGCGCGATAGAATTCTAGCGTAGGTCTTATTCATTTCTGTATCACATAGCGCTCTACGAGAAGAATGCGGCTGCTTATGTGTCTTAAAGATCTGCAGGCTGCGTAGGTTGCAATAATTGCCCTGTTGTCATCGGTACTGCTGAGTGTGATTGTTGTGCAACCTGATTCTATGACTATCTAGAACGTTGGGTTCCTCTATGACCCAGTCCACACCTTGTATAGTGCTTCTATCTTCTTTTGTCATTTCAAAGATCAATGATTTATTGCCCGTGATGCATAGCCATTCAGCTTATTATTTACCCTTGGAATTCAGCCACCTTTCCTCCGGATCGGTACGGCTATCATCATCCCGTTAATCGTAGCTTACGCTATTTAATTAACCAGTCGAGTTGGGCAAGGCAACTCGCAGTAATGAAACATGAAGCTTTTTTTGCTGTCATCGAAACTGTGAATGTTAAGCAGCTGATTCCAAATTTTACATTAATATATTGCAATTGTTACATTTTTTTATAGACTACACCATCCACTTACATACACTCAGCCGTCTGCCAACTACCTTTGATCTCTTCTATCTCATTTCGACATGCTCTCTCACACTTCTCCTCCACTTCCTCTGAATAGTCCATAATGACCACTAGAACTGATTCCCTCATTTATCATACTCTCCGCATCTCCAACCTGCCTTCGCTCCGTAGTCTCACGCATGTTGCGTGATTTCAACATCATCTGTCTGTGCAAGCCAAGGGTCAACTCATAAGAGTGCTTATACTTAGGGAAAGGTTCGGTTGTTGGTAATTGCTATTGAAGGGGTTCTGATGAGCTAGAAAGTCGGTTAAGGTGAAGATAAACATCCGTACCATACCTATGTAATTTATTAGTGTGTGATGTCACGCGTGAGAAGACTGATTTAACCAACTAACCCTTCCATGCTGATTAGCTTCAAGTCTCCTCCAAAGTATCGTGCATATAGCCGAGAAATTGGTAGGCCGTATCCGAACCCAGCCATGGGAGCCTTAAAATCATTTTCGTCAAAGTCAGGATCTAAGCTTGGCGTGGTATCAACGGTAGTATACATATATGTCCACACGAGTGGTATGGCACTTCGAGGTATACCACCCCCTTCATCAGATATTTTGACAGTAATATCCTCCTTTCCCTCTGCTACCACCACTTTTGTCACGGGGAAATCCTTTTTATCCTGCCCGTGTGTTTCGACTACAGCTCGTAGGGAATTTTTTAGTGTCTCGAAGAGCATATGCGATAAATGCCCAGGAACGTACATAAAATTAAGCTCAGGGGGACAAACTAATTGAACCTTTGGCGCATCAAATAGTCCATAATGATCCTCACAGACAAATCGAGCATTTTCTATGGCTTCTTCGGCAAGGTCTCGAACGTTAGTCTTGGTACAAATAATTCCCACATAAGTAGGATCTTTGTTACAGCTAGGGTCCGTCAAGGCAATGTGCTGCCCTATGAGCATACGTATTCCTATTCGAGACATGTAAAAACGATCCAGAAAGGCTTGAATATTGTGGTCAATTCGCATACGCTGCCGCTTCCGTTTGTACTCTAAGATTCCCTGAGCTACTGTTGTAACAACACTGTCATGTCGTCGCTTAATAGAATTTAATGTATTTCCAAATCGTTGGTTGTAGTCGTGAAGCTCAGGGGGCCAGCCATTAGAGTCTTCTACCACTGCAAAGTATCTTCTCTTCCCGATTACTTTCTTTCCGTCCATTACAACATCCTTAGTAGCAGTGTCTTCATGCCACAAATGCGAGTTGCATCGCTCACTCATCGGGTCGTAACTGCTTCTTACTCCTGCTACCAGCTGGTATGACTTGCTCTTTGTCCAGGATGATCGTGTTAGTCGATTGCGAACATCTATGGAAATATGTGGTTTTGGAAGGGTTGTAATTTGCTACATGGGATGTTATTGGTAATACCGATATCAGCGGATAAAATGTACCTCGAATGATTGCGCGTACCAGTCGCGGACCTTCTTTATTGACGGCATTTCATTCAATCCATCAGGTAGTTCTTGTAATTCTTGAACACGGTGTGCAAGTCGTATGGGCAACTCTTCGGAAAGAAATTGGGAGGCCTGGAAGAGGGTTCCTATAAATTTACTATTGTCAATCATGTTTGGCAACATACACCATCTCTCAAACTAGGATAGAAGGCACTGCTGCTTACCTGTTGATGGCCTTTCTCCAAATTGGACCATCTGCCTAAGACTTACCCCGGTCGCTGGGAAGCTGGAGTAATGCTTGATGGTTTCCATTAACTGTTCCGTCTTCTTCCAGGACATTTTGTAATTCCCTTGAGGCCCACGGGCCGAATGGTACGAGGATTTCTTCGGGAATCAAGTTCAGACTCGCCATGCACTATGTCATCGGTGTTTAAGTGGGCGGAGGGGATAAGTATCCCTAGGCCTGGGAAGCTTTACTCGCTAGCTTTAGAGTCATGTGTCAGGGGTAAAAAATAAGTCACGGATGAACCTGGTAAAGCCCTCAGTCTCGTTGTGCCAGTTGTCATCAAAATTGAACATTCTTGTCGCGTTGCAAACAATTACTTGAGAAATGGGATGTTAACAAGATGGTGTGTTAGGAAATATAGAACAGATTTTTGAAGGTTGGTTACATTCACCCGTGCTCGCGGGGAGGCTACAAGGAGCAATAGTTTCCGCTTCCTGTAGGGTTGATTTTACCAGGTATCGTTACCTTGCGCCTTTCTGGTAGAACACGCCTAATCTGATGGCCATATGCCTAAGTGACGTGATTTAATATTGAGGTTCAGAGCACATGTACGCTAGTGTCATGCCTACACTTCATTCTTAAACCCCGACAGAAAATTGCTTGACGCATAATTTGAGGCTTGCTAGCAAAATGTCTGGATTTTATCCCTAAATACCGCTTGGAACTCTCCACTTCTTTCAAGAGACAGGATGCATGAGTGCATCCAAAGCTGACTAAAAGGGAGGAGACTAGAAGATAAGTATAGAAAATCCGGAATTAAATATTTGTATTTAGATACAAAATAATCAGATGCGTCATAGCTAGATAGCTGAATACACTATGAATTAAAAAAAATACCGTTTGGACCATCACGGTAGAGAGAGACGCAGATTTTAAACGGCAACTATTCATATAATAATTCTTCATCAGGATTACTAGTCGATTCATTTGATGCAATGCGATAGTAGAGCTCTCGTTCTTGATCGGAAGACTGAGTTTAAATTACACGACCAAATCAGTACTCTGGATTTAGCCATATCTCAAGGCAATTACAAGTGGGGTTACTTAGATTTACTAAATATGACGTATTTAAGCTTTGTAAAGAGTATCTAGGAAACCCGTAGCAAGCTCAACAACAACACCCTTATTAGGCAGACTACCCGCGACACCGTAGAGGGCGGCGCTATCGCCAGTTGGCATATTCTTAGCTCCCCTGCCTTCGACTATCCTCACCCGGTCCTTTTCCTGTTCGTCCTCGAGTACAGTCTCGAGATCCCTGATAAAATTTTCCCAAACCTTACAAGTAGGCAAGGTCATCGCAATGTGAACAGCTGGTGGTGATTGTAGGCTATTCAAATGCCACCCTTTATCGCTCATTGCATCAGCTATGGCATATATGTTGAGGGTCTTGGATGTGAAAGCTACCACAGAGACGGAAGGTTTTCCTATAACTTGGAGATCAGAGCAAAGTGCAGGATTACTTTGTATGCTAGAGATAAGTTTTTTCGTAGTGCCCACGATCTCGGAGCAGGACTCAATGTAACCTGCTTCGCCCATGTTCATCATGGAGGCCCAGCATGCGGCTATTAAGGCCCCGGGCCGGGATCCAGCCATAGATGGAGAAGCATAAACACCACCCGACCAGTCAGGTGAGATAAAATACTGGTAGGTTCTTAAACTGGTAGAGCGATAGAGAACCGTCGAGTTTCCTTTCGGAGCAAATCCATACTTGTGGCTATCGCAAGAAATTGATGTAACACCCCTTAGGCTAAAGTCAAAAGGTTCTGTCTCAAATCCAGCTTTCTTCAGAAAAGGTACAAGAAAAGAGCCGAGGCAGCAGTCTACATGTAGTAGTATCTTTCGTTTAATCGCAAGCTTTGATAATGCGCTGATATCGTCCATGATTCCATGGGGAAAATTTGGTGCAGAACCGACAAGTAGTATCGTGTTGCTGTTTATAAGGCGGCTTACTGAAGGAACATGAACTTGATAGCTGGGTGCTGGACATGAGACTAAATGCGTTTTTATGCCAAAATATGACCCAGCTTTGCGAAATGCTGGGTGAGCTGTTTCCGGAAGGATCCTAAAACAATATTAGGTTATTGATAGCAATAGGCCAATTGGATTGTACATCTCTGGCTCCCTCACATTCCTCTCTGCATATGCTTTCTGTCTAGCACTAAGACATGCCATCAGGATTGACTCTGTTCCACCACTTGTACTCGCTCCAGCAGCTCCAGTAGGTGCATTGAACATTGCAAGTACCATGGCTACAATTTCAGCCTCCATTTTACGAACTCCAGGAAAAACATCAGGGTGTATCGGATTGGCCACAGAGAAGAGTCCATATGCCTCAGTCTGTAACTTCAATAAAGCGTCTCCGCCATGGTATACCGCACCTGAAACTAGGCCATCTTCCCATCTGGTGTGCTCCATTGATGCAAGGGACTCTAATTCTTTACTAACTGAGTCTTCAGACCATCCTTCTTTGGGTAAGGTCAAGTGGCGTACGATTCCGGGCCCTGACGGTACAAGTTTGGCTTGAAGTTTTGTGATTGCCTCATTGACTTGAGTTTTAACTTGGGATCGCACACCTGGTGCTCGAAGAAATAGGCCGTAAGCATATCGACGAACAGCCATTAATGCATCGGCAGCGGTGCCAAGTATCCCACGACCCTTTAGCTTCAGGAAACTTTTCCTCGTCCATCGTAGGACAAAGAGGAAAAATATTAGATTTCGAAACCTTCAACGGAGTTAGTAACACTGTTACTGAAGCCAGAGTCCGTCACCTCACAGATCAATATTAAAAGCAAGAAATTGACTGCTTGATCCCCCTCTCTGGGCATTCAGAGTATTTCGCAGACTTACCGGCATCCTTGATGTGCCAGGCATGATATCGTTGGATGCTTCGGACAAACCAGAAGGCTTGACTGAGCACAGGTGTGATTCAGATTGTCAACGGCCTAGAAGGTTGATTCCTCGCCAAGCAAGATCGCATGACTTTAGGTAAAGAACTAACACCTCTGCTTATCACACCAAATATGATCAGTTGTCAATTTTTAGTACCCCTTTCCTAAACTTGGACATTTAAGCTGATGTAAGTTATCTAGAATTCAAGAAACTGGGGTAAATTTAGTTTACCCAGTTCCACGGATCGATTGTCTAAGGGGGTGCATTTAGAATTGCAGTTTGTCGACATGGGACAGTGCAGGGGATTTTTTTAGGGCGAGCACGCAAAATCATTTTCGTCCATTCTTGTAGGCTACACAAAAATCTGCAGTAAATAGCCACGCTGTAGCATCGTTTGGCCTGAGGGGCATTGCACTAACTATTGCAAAAAATTTTGACCATTATCACTCAAGATATTTCCTTGAGATTTATATTGATGATTTTATGGTCTCCACGCCACCATCGCGCTATCACTATGAACCAGTTTTCAGGGTATTACAAGGGTGACGAAATCAGACAGAGGTGTTGTTACCATGAGTCTCCAATCATGCTCTACTATCATGATCAACCCAGGGGCCACGGTAAGTGATACTCTGGAGAAGTTGCGGACAGGGGCATCATTCCGTGATGCTTAAATAAAAATTTGAAAATAAAGATGTAATTAGTAGAAACTACAACATTTTACTAGCATAGTTGTTGTCTTGACCCCCTGATTAACCGTATTTGTGAATCCAATCACTGAATTGAGGAGACTACTAGTTAGAATGGAAAAGATAGGGTGTCTTTAAATAGTGTTTCCTACATAGTAATAAAATCATTTAAGAAAGAAATGGATAATAATAATACAGTCTTGACGCACCTTACGTACCCGCCATGGATGACTTAGAGTCGAGACTTTGACTTTCTGGCGTGAGTTATCACTGCTCGCTCAGGCATGAGATTAGAGTGAATTGATGTATTTTATTTAGACTCGGTAGCAATCTCGCATCACCAAAACCAGAACCATCATATTATCAGTGAATAACTCGTACTGAGTTCCATATTTTGATGTGATTAATTCTAATAACTTTTCGTTTAATATGACATTTTCGAACATTGCTTCTTACTAATTTTGAATAATGCATAGGAAACATGGATATCAAGGTTTTCAGGCTTGCAAGTTTCTAGTGACTTGTCTCAATTTCCGAACGCTGACCTCCACTGAGTCAGGTATGATTGAGCTAGCGCAGCGCAATCACTACCAGGCTCTTCACAGCCGGCAAGCTTAAGCACAAAGTCACCCTCTTTGTAGACACCCGAATCGCTGGCCAAGTCTGGCTTATTGTATGAGTTCATAACTTTTTGGGGAACTAGTGCTAATTTAGAGAGGATTGTCGGATGCCATTGGACAATGTGTTCCTACAGCCCTGTTAGGAGGCTGTTACTAATGGGTTATTATCCTGAACTAACTAAAGCGTGTGAATCTGCCTTTTGGAAATTATATGATCGATACATGGGATCAAACCAAGTATCGAGAAAGAATCTGCTCCATTCTCCGTTTCGAACGATGAAGCTGTCTGGTGCTAGACCGTTCTTATCTTGGGTAAGGGCTAAATCAATATTCGTTCCCTTTAATTTTGGGAAAGTTTTTATAACACTGCTAGGCGGTACAATAGGTTGATCTTTAATCATTAAATCTTCGAGTTTACTTGGATGCATGATATCTCTCTCCACTTTGATTTTCGGGTTCATAATCAACGAATTTTGTTCCAGATACCACACGTATGTACTTTTATCGAATTTCGCCAATGCATGTCGGACCGCTGGAATGCGACTCCAAGTACCAGGAGCTCCATTTAGGTCGTAATCACTAATATTTGGCATGAAAGTTGCGTACCCTACATCTAGTTAGTCATTGAAGAAATATAAGTTTGGAATTTACCATGATACTTGGCATATCTCATGCGATTTTCTTTGATATGTTCTAGATGATCTTTTCTATATCTTCCAGAATCTAAGACCGTAACAACAACTACAGAAGGTTTTCCAACAAGTGCGTGGTTTGAATTACCGTAACCTTTCAGCATAACAAAGATTAGTGCTCCTGCTATGCATACCCCTATTACTATAGATTTTATTCGGGTTCCTAATACGTTCGAGTAACTGTGTGACTGAACAGGATACAGAGAGAGGTTTGAAGACCGTCTGAGGGGTAGTGCCATGTGCATTTCTGGCAGTAAGTAAGTGAGGTTTCTAATGTTGTTTTCTTGAAGATTATCTGATCGGCGATGAATCTTGCGGCAAAATCCGACGATTAAAAGTCGAGTTATTCCACTCGAAACTGGTTAAGATATTCCCGTATGGCCCTTTCGCGTGCCGCTTGATGTAAAGGCGTGACTTTCGCAGGTCCAGTCAAGTGGGGCTGTAGCTCGATTTATGTCGCATTTCCTGTGATTCAATATAATTGTGTAACTATTTAAGTTGGCGAATTTGATTTTAATGTCACGATAAAACGAGTCATGAATCATTTGTTGGTCATGATAGAGTCGAAGTTGCTGATTAATGTCATGTCATACGAGTTTGAACACTTTCGTCTCGTCGTGGGCCCGCAGGTCGAGTGGTCTAGTGGTATGTAGAAATCAGACACTGATCGCCGGTCTTGTCTCAAAGGAAGAATGTACATGGCGAAAGGCTGATTAGTATCTATATTAAACTGCAACACGCTTAGTGTGGCCACAATCCTGAACCAACCATAAACGAGCTTGGATGTATCGGTGACTAGCAGTTGAAGATCAAAGGTGAGAGATTCAATGTTTATTCGTGGCGGGCACAAAGCTACTACTTATAAAGAGTGACACAAAGAAAGCTAGTCCTTCCCGACGACTATACACAGCGATATATTAGTTTCAAATTGGTACCATTCCTGCAGTGTGTGCATTCGCTGATACTACTCGAGATCTTGATGCTAGGGACTTTTATCCCTCCCTCAAGCATTAGTATCCATTAAAGAGTAAGCAAGATAAAAACTTTGGCTACCCAACATGCCTTAGTTATCTTATGTGAAGTTACTGCGCGAGATGTGGACACATAGCCCCCCCTTTCTCTAGTGAGGCAGGTGTCCAGGCTACCCGGACTTTTGTTCTGGGAGATGACGATCAAAAGGTGGACCACAATACCTTCCATCATGGCCTGTTTTTAGAGTGTCTAATGCATTATCCTGTACCGTCGCCTTTGCGACCACAGACACCCTTAAGTCGAAATTTTCGAGAAATGTGCGTCCCAGAATGCCCATTTGTGACCTCATCACTCGTTCGTCCCATGTCTCTACTGCCCATTTGTCTTCAAGATTTGAATCCCCATTAGAACAACGGTCCCCCATAGACCAAGACCCGAGCTTTGTAGATTATGACTTAAATTCCTCCTCACTAGTATACATAGCACCGTAACTCTTTAGTGGGAGATGGCCGATTTTTGATGAAGCAGATTCCTAATTGCAATTGGAATAATGCCTTTGTCGATAATTTAAGCGCGGTGTTGTGATAAAATTGAGGTAGAGGACTCGCGCGAGAATGATAGGTGAGATATTGACATGAAGTCGTCGGTTTAAGATGTGCAAGAAATTACTTTCGACTTCGATTCGGTTGCGATTCTTCTTAACTATCCCAGATATATGTAGCATACTGAGCATTTACATCGACACCATTGGAAGGTGAAGAATTCCTCTTTTCTGGCAGAAATGTATCAGCCTTTTACCTTCTTGTTTTTTTATTTAACTTCAAGTGGGACGCCTTGTCGAGAATTAGGCCCCTGCTGCACATTTAGTATTAGATATAGACACCTGTGTGAAGGTAGGACTAAACAATTTTACGCAGTATACTCTAAAAGACGAGGAGTAGAATATTCTCTCAGTGCCAAGTTCAGTCAAATTTCGCAATATCAAAGAAGTTGGCCCACGAGGCAAAAATTCAAATTACTCCACCATGTCAATCTTTCACCCCCAAAGAGTCCGATTCTTAACTAAGCTTCATCAAGTCTACAAGTACGACCCAGTAAATTCTCATCCTCATCCTTATCCCAATGACCATACCTCTCGTCAACTTTCTCTGGCCCTAGTTGACCACCAAATACATGCCCACGCCGATATTCATACCCGACGGAGGAATCAAAGCGTGGAGCACAAATCTGGGAGATAGCTTTTTGGGATGGACGTGAGAGGGGTCAATAAAAGTTGACAAGATGATACAGAGGAAGGATATAACTTCGAAGGGCATGAGATTCCGAATTTTGGCAAGGAGTTTTTCGAATTGGGCTTTGTGCGCGCCAAGACTTCGCTTGCGAGAGTGCAGCTGACACTATAAAAATAAGTAGACGATGGAAGGTGTTGTGGTCCGCCTCCTGGTGGTGTTCTCCGGTATATTTTGAGTAGCCTGGGCATCTACTCCACTTGGGAAGGAGATATCTCAGACCATATTTCGCGCGGAGAAAAGTTGAAAGATGATGGAGGCATGCCTGGATAACTCAGGGTTTTTGAGATGTTTCCCTGGGTGGGTATTCACGGATGAGGTTTGACTTGGGGTGAAGAAAAAGCCACCATAACTTCGCAGTGGTACTTGCAAATGAAATCTGAGGCATGAGTGCTCTACTTTTAAATTGAGTTATCAATTATGTACTTTTCTTTGATCTTGTGCCATAGCTAGATAGCTGCATATGCAATTTAAATCTGATGTTGAAAAATAGAGGAAGGGGTCGTAGTACGACCGTGTTGTGAGACACAATGTAGTTTCTATGTCTTAGGATGCGAATTAGGATGGTCAGATACCAAAGCTATCGAAGCCGAATGCCTAATAAACGTGACAACATGTTTGCTACATTTGAGAAACTCGACTACTGTTGACATAATTGTCCTTGTGTGGGACGCTACTACTGGCTTAGTCATTTGGGCAAGAATTGCAGTATAAGTAGGCCGAGCCTCTCTCCTCTTCTGCTTTCTTTAGCTCTGTACGTCTTCACAATTTTGACCCCCAACAACATTAAGAATACCTTCTGATTGTCTTCTAGCTTTGCCTATTGGCTTAGATCAAGTGTAGTATCTGGTAAGTCGAACGAAATAAGACATAAATTCTACATCCGACTAATCCAAACAGTTCTTTTCAGTTTAATCTCTGAAAGTCCTCTACGGAGGACACATTGATTATACTTATTTTTGGAAATGGTCTGCGAATCTCTGGGCTTGCTTAAGTTCGCAGACAATGTGTCATCGGTATAACACTGCCTCCGATCGACGCGAACGTTTTCATTTCATATGTGAAACATATTTGAAAAGAAGACTTAGCTTTTGTGACCTTGAGACTCCTTTCAGTTTATAAAAAATGCATAAACTGTCTCTAGGAAAATAAACACAGTGCGGGTGTTGTGGTAAAAATAGATATCGAAAACAGTCTGGACGAATAGAGAATTATACTATATAGAAGTGCACCTAAACCAATAAAACAGGTTAAAAAAGTTACAGTTTGAAAATAATATAATGTGCCTGCTTAGGAAGCATGAAACCTATACCATCTGAAAGCAGACGCATTTAGGAATGTCTTGAAATACTGTTTAGTCGGTTGGCAAGGCTTAGACTTTCATTCTCTCGCTATACAACTTACACACTATCCTGTCTTCCAACAAGACATATGTTTCTCTACTCTCCGTACACAACTCTCCTTATATTATCACCCCTTGACTCTATGACCCCATTATGCTCACGGGTAAAATCATCTATAGAACGCGACAATTGTGAAGTCAGGGGGACTGAGGTGAGATCTAATTTAGTGTTCCAAACGTACTGAGCGAGCAAGTGCCAAGAAAGGCCCCTTATATAGCACCCTAGCAGGGAGTCTATTTAATCTGATAGCGATACAAAATTGAGTCACAAACGTAAGCACCCCGCGATTACTCGTCTCTTCATGGAAAAGTAGCGCTATGGAACAGACGAAATATCGATAATGAAGACCTGTGTCACATTTCAAACTGTTGATTAACCTCCATTTAAATCTCTTAATTTCGGTGTGGCGATGTTAATGACGAGAAGCTGAAAATCAGCCCTCAGATATCAAGGATTCTGGGTCTCTTTATCATGGCCTGCAGGTAAATATGACTCTAAATACAAGCAAGAAGCAGTGTAGAGTTTCAAGAAAATAAGAGGATATTGACCTCACTAGAAAGCATATAAACCGTGTTACGAATAGCTACAATTGTTTTGATTATGCACTACGTTGTACTTTATGAAGCTAAAGTGGGAAGAGACCGCGTTAGAATTGAAAGATTGACGTTCCAGAAAGTCTTTAACCACTGCTTCTCGGGCCAACTTCAAAATTCCAAAAGTCGTTCGAACTTGGATCTGGAAGTATGTTTCACTGCAAGATTCATAAATTATATTGCGAACATCATTTAATCTTTATCTTCCCTTCGCGCAAATCAGTTTGTTAGAAGAATTATGTTGGCCTTCGAGTTTGCTGTTGGAAAGAGTTCGCGAGAGAGAGGTAAGTTTATTGTACTACTTGAGTCTTATACTATCTAGCACATTGGGTTCCTCTCTGGCCCAGTTCATACCGTGTATAGTGCTCATATCCTCTTTTGTTACTTGTAAGACCAATGATATGTTGCTCGTGATGAATAGCCATTCAGCTCATTGTTTAACCGTGAAATTCGGCCACCTTTTCCACGGAATCTTCTACACCAAGAGAATAATAAAATAGCATGGTAGCAATGGAGACTGCGTGCGCGGGAAAAAGTCCCAAAAACCTGTAACCACAGCTACGGGGGGTGAGCATACCCCTCGACGTCTCCCTTCTTTGTAACATTCGAGGCCGTGTTCATCCAATCCGCCATCTCCGTATCGGGTGCTGGGTACGCTCCGGAAACTCATCGGATGGCTTCTCCTCCATGATCAAGGGTGTGTGATGAGTAGGGCTCCGACCCTACCATCTGATCTGATCGTGGTTAGCTTCATGATAATGGTGATAGGGGAATGTGTTGAGAGATGAAGACGATACAGACCGCGCAAGGGATTGGGAATCCTCGTCGAAATGAGGACTTTGTTACTCAATCTCGGCTCTGCAAACTCTACAGAGAGAGCTGGAGGTTATTTTTTTTTTTGCATCAGATTTTAATTGCGTATGCAGCTATCTAGCTATGACACAATATCAAAGAAAAGTATAGAATAGATGATTCAATTTAAAAGTAG